TGGGGTAGTAGTCATAATATTAGCAATACAACTTAAAAGTGATAACTTTACTATTAAAGAAAGAATACTGGGTCCAAAGTGGTGGGGGTATAGGCGGCCGAGGGCTCAGGATTTAAGGCCTGGGGCCTAGGGTTGAGGGTGTAGAGTTTGGGTTTCGAGCTTAGGATTTATAGGGCTTAGAGTCGAGAGTTTTTGGTTGAGCTTGCTTGTGAATTTAGGCGGGGAGGGGCTAAGGTTCCAGCCAGAATCAGGCTGCAGAGGGTATAGTTCGTGGACATGTGGCAGTTAGCAAAAGCAACCGAATCAAACAAGTGTCCCGCAAAGATTGGGAACTCTTCATGCAGTTGCCAGGGTTGCGTTGAAATGACGCGATGTTGATCTCTCCCGTCTGGGATGCGACAAGCGATTTGGGTTTCTCCTGCAGGACGGAGAGGGACAATTCGGCAACTGCATCCAGCGCGGTTGCTGCTGAGGCTTGACTGCCTTTGGGCTTGGGTTGCTTGGGCTAGGATTTAGGGTTTTAGGGTTTCTAGATTTAGATTTGCCAGAAGAATCTCCCATGACCCTTCTAACTGCTAGGAAGGTGTTGAAGCACGCCGCAACATGTCCCAAAGAGGACTACAGGTCTAGGTCAGAAGGGGTGTCACGACTGGGGGTGTCATGAGGGTTTGCTTGTGGGATTCATTTCTTGGTCTTCCAAGCTTGGCTCACCTTTCAGTCTCTCTGCCGGACCATAGAGGGGCCTGCATACAGAAGATGTCCCGGCAAATTTTTGAATTGAAGCGGCAGACGTGGTGAGAATAGATATGTTCGGACCCTACAAGGGGCTTCAAAAGTTGAAGCGCCATGGCAGCATGGGTCACAATGGGGTTCCAAAAGGGCGATAATGGTGACGGCGTTAGTGGAGCTCATGATGCTTTCGCCGATGGTCAACATCAGTGCAATCAACATTGCCATCCAGGTCAATTGTCAGAAAGAGGTCTACCCTGTTGCTGTGGCAGTCCTTGGCATCCTCATAGCCGTAGCGCTGCGACATGCATAAAACAGGTAGCAGGGGCTTTCAATGCGAGAATGAAGGTATACCTGAAAAGGAACCCTATTGCAGATGAGTGTTCCCTTTACCATATGCACTTGATACATAATGCAGACCTACTATAGCCCATAAGTGCCCCATGATCCCCATATAGGGATTCCCTGGAGAAAGCCTGACATTATCAAACCCTAAACCCTAATATACCATAATATACTATTATACACCCTACAAAACCCATGATAGTCTTAGTAGTGTCCATTTTCTTTTCCAGGCTCCCTATATAAACCTCCCTAACTCAGGACGGATTCGGTGAGGATGGGGATGTTGCCAGAGATGCGAGCAGCAGCTCCGCGACCGGGGTCGAGGCCGATAGTTGAGGGTTTGGGGCCCCTGGGCTTGAGGAGTACATTTAAAAAAGGAATATCATATAGGGGTTATATGGCGATCATGTAAGGTATAGGGTTTAGGGCTTAGGGCTGCGGATTAGGGTCTGTAGGGCTCAGGGTTGAGTATGGCAGAGGGTTAAGGGTGTATGATTGAGAGTTTACACTTCAGATGAGTTAAGGGCTTGGGGGTCAGGGTTAAGGGTTGTGGGCTTAAGATCTAGGATGAAAGTTCTTGGGTTAAGGATTGAGAGCCTAGCGCCTTGAGGTTGGGATTCAGGATCAAAAGTTAGTGTGTAGGACTCAGGGTTTAGGATTGAGGCTTCGCGGTGTGCGGCTCAGGGTGTGTAGCCTGTTATGCAAATTGGGTTAGGTTTTAGGAGCTTAGGGGCGCTGATGTAGCTAAGTGTTTCCTTGACCGTCCTTTTCCGGAGCTTGCTAGGTTTGGCATCGTCATCAGACAGCTTAGACCCCTTACCCCTGATCGCTCAAGTTTTTGGGTACTGCGCAGATGTTTCATTGAGGTGCCTGTGAACACGCAGCTTTTTAACATCTTTTCGATTTTGACAGCATCTCGCTGCCTGAGAGAATATGATTAGACATCGATTTAATTTAAACCATGTTTTTTGAAAAAGAATCTCTCATCAGTCAAAGGAGGTTCATTCAACCATTTTCCTGGCTCGGTCAGGGGGGTCGAGAACTGTTGCACACCCTGTATAAAATGCTTTTGCCAGGGGCTTCCGCATTCGCTGGCATTATAGGGCCCCCCTGAGATAGTAGAGCCCAGTGTGTCAGGATCCCTAACAAATTAAGGTCGCTCATCTGAATGTGGATAGCGTGAAACTACATACCTCAAAGATGCTTCAAAGCCTGCTTCAAGCATCCTCGTCCCCGAAGCTAAGTTGGATCTCTGTGGGTTTGGGGATGAGCCTACGAGATGCAAACTTAGAAAACAATGATTTTTGGATTTATGCAGTGCTGTGCCGGGTGAGTAAGTGTAACTTGGGTTAGGGATTGAGACTGCCTGAAAGGCAACGGCCGCCGGCTCCGAGACCGGCGACGCTGGGCTCGTGATATATAACTTGTACACCCCTAAACCTAAACCTTTCATTTATATGTGTGTATATAGACACACATCGTATATGTACAGCCCTAAACCCTTCCACACTTTTTTAATGGGTGTTTATGGAACCTGGGAATGACACTGTGACATTCTCGGCTTCTGAAGTTGAACTGGACGTTTGAGTGTCTTCTCCATGATTTCTTACTCTTAGGCTCCATCAGTCACCGTTCAACTGTAATCCCTAAACCACTTTGGGTGAGCAAAGCACGGCCAAGTAAGACCTAACCGTGATTTCTTAAGGTGTTTTTCCATATACTCATCCGCCCACTCCGAGTCAGGCACCCGAACGTTATCCCTGCCCTCAATACGAGGAAGTTTGTATGCGGCATGGTTCTCAGGAATTGCCTTTCCAATAGTCGCAGAACAAGATGCCTGGGAGGATATTTTGGGCTGTGTACACCAGCTTTCGATGTTGAATGCCGCGCTGCATGCATAATCTGAGTTGCTGTTATGGAACTTAAACTAAGTTACCATAATGCGTATATATACATATGTATATATCTAATAGTAAACAAGAGGATTTGCGTATTATAGCAGCTGACCTGAAATTCCTCAACAGCAACCCGGTAATGACCTGTGTGACCGCGGTAGTGATATGTTGCCGCCGCTAGAAACTTGTATGCGGAGGCCTTCTCCAAAAAAAGATAGGTTACTTCGTACACCCTAATGTCCTCATAACCCCTGTACAATCTGAGCTGCCATCTCATCTTGCATTTTCTCGTCGATGTGCTTTTCCATTCCTGGGGTCACTCTTTAAATGACCCATATAAGGGAAATATCTAACCCTAAAACCCTAGAGCCTAAATCCTAAAACCTGGCAGTAGTAGTAGTAGTAGTAGGCGCCTCCCCCCCCTAGGGACTACACTTTACTTAAAATGGAATATATTGGGAAAGGGGTGCCGGGGGGGGGGGGTAGTTCCGTGCTGAGAAACTTGAATCGGGAGGCAACAACTCGTGGGACGTGCGTTTTGGAAGTGACCGGCTTGGTTCAAGTTGTTCAATAAGCCAATCAATTACCTCTACGCTTATATGTTGAATTGTTCATTCCCAGCATGGGTGCGCGTCCGTTTTGGCTGGTTTCGGCCTGGCCTCAGCCCCCCGTGTGCCCTGATGTCTTTCTTGGACATGTCTTCATTCTTGTAATGAATTCAAGCCAATCGATAATCCGTGGGGCTTGACCCCAATGCCGCGCTTTGTACTGGGACCGCGCCAGTATGGCTTAAAAAATGCGCGCAGGAAAAAATGTGCCAAGTGAGCCTCCTCAAATCAAGATGGCCATGCACCACATTGCGACATGGCAAGATCTATTTTCCAATTGTTTTGCCAACCAAACAGTGAAATACAAAACCGGGATGTTAGCGTCATTGCCCAAGTGGGCTCTGAATATGAATATGCGCGCACATGGTATACAAGTTCCCGCCAAGGTTCTGATTACACTGGCCGAGTCAGCAACAGCTTCCCTCAAAGAATATATGTGGTAACCCCGTTTTCCATGAACCCCATCACGTCGCGCAACTTAATTTCATAACCTTCATGGTGGAGATTTCACGCTGCTCCCATGTCAATGAATGTAGTTCGGTGAACAACAACAACACATGTGTGAAGAAGCCGTGTCAGTAGCTTCTTTATGCAGACAATGTTCGAGTGTGGTTCAATGATATTCATGACCCGTTGCTGAGACCCGTTACGCCCGCTAACTAATGCAGTTCGATTTTGCATGGCGTCGCTTGTTTAGCTGGATTTGTAGTAGGCTTTGACTCTTACTTTAGTTACACAGGTACGATTTGGGCGCAGACCTCAGGATCTAACTGCTCAAAAAAACTTCATCGACCTCATATTCTGAGTTGTCAAGTTCACCAATACATTTCATTACTCCATATCGCCTAACTATGGCAATGCTATGCTGGTTGGAATCCTGCGTCTGGCAAATTGTGGGGACACTGGGACCACAGAATGGTCGGAACAAATCGCCAAGAAAGGATCAGGCGCGTGGGCATTCAACCGAGAATTCAGAATCCGCAGCACGAGTTTTTGTGTATGATGCGTGCAAAAGCGTGCCTTGAACTTTTGCGGAAATTCTGCAACAATCTACACTGTTTCCGGTTTTTGTCGTCCATCACTTGGGCCCTTGGGCAACGGAAGAAGGATGGGAACTAACCTCTCGGCAGGTTGGGGCCAAAATGCGGAAGTCGTCACCAGCATTCAAACAGGCGAGCTGGATCAGCTAATGTGCAGTCTGGAGCTTGGACTTTGGGCATTCGTGTTGGACGGCTGTGCTTCATCAGTGCAAAGGTGACAAGGGAGACATGGCATGGTGACAGGAGACAAGCTGCGGCTGCAGCAAAATCTGTTCAACACTGTGAGTTTTTGTGATTGCATGCCTTTACCGGAATGTTCGCATAGCCGTTCCGGGTCAATTATTGCCCATGACGCCCTGCCCATGGCTCTCCACTGTGTTGTGATGAAACGGGCTGCGCAGGAACTGTGCAGACATGCTCACGTCAACCATCTTTCCAGATGTAGGGTCTTCTCGTCCATGCCTGGCAAAGCACAAGAAGCCCCTTCCAAGCAGCAACTACGAACGCATGCGTTGCAGAGCGCTGTTCCGATGATAGGATTTGGAATTGTGGATTGCGTGGTGATGACGCAAGTTGGTTCAACCATGGATGCCGTGTTAGGTGCAAGGCTTGGCATCTCTTCCATAACCGCAGCGGCCATTGGTTTGTTTTGCAGCGATTCGTGTGGTGTTTTGTTCGGAGGGACCATCGAGTCCTTCGCTGGGCGGCTAGGCCTTCCCAGCGCAAACTTGACTTCTGAGCAATTGGAGATGCCTGAAACCAAACGAATGGGAACCCTGGGACGCTTAGTTGGCGTGCAGCTGGGCGTCCTGCTTGGCAGCACTACATTGCTTTTGCAAGGCAAGCCGCCTGAGAAATTGCCCCAGGTTGAGGACGAGAACGCTGCGACATCCACTACGGATCTGCCCCTCCAAGATATGCCTCCCAATGTAGCTTCCACAGCCGCAGCTGTAAAAACGGCAGATGTCGTCGTCTTCGCGCGGCCTGGCTGCCCCTTTTGCGAGGAAGCGGAGAACCAATTGCTTGACGAGGGCGTGGCATTCAACAAGGTACCACACGCTGTGCATCGTGCGAATTTGCTTGAAATGACCTCCTCACCAGCAGCCCCTTCCATCTGGGTGAAAGGCAGGTATATTGGCAACAAATACCAGCCAGGATTCTTTGCCAGAGAGGCACCGACGCAGTGAGGCAAGCATTTCAGACGCTTGGCGCAATTGCCGTATGTCTGTCCGTGCAAGCGGGCCATTGCAAATGAATTGTAGCTAGAAATACACGAGCAAAATACACGAGCCGGCATGCATAGATTTAGAGCAGAACGTGTCGACCATGCGTGCAAAACGGTTGTTTGTTTTTGAGGTTCTGGGCTGCATGAGTTGCCAGGTTGCTTTCATAATGGTGTTCAGCATTGCTTGCCATAAGACGGGCTGTGCCTTGCATGCACCAGTTGCTGGGTTCCAAGGCTGCATAGTCAAATCCATGAGACCTCGCGCTACTCATCCCAGTATCTTGAGTTCATGATGCGGGCCAAATTTTTTAGGTAGCGGGCATCACAGCACAGCTGCAAACCTACCCCGCTGTTGAGTGCAGGCTGGTGTAGACAGTGTACTTGGCCAACAGCCACCCAAAAGCGACGCAAACACTTCTTTGCAGAGTGAATTTCTTGGTATGAGTTTGGGAGTGCAAGTGCAGCCGTTCACAGGAGATGATTCGCTCGAAGGTTTGGTTGGCTGTCACACCATGCAAAGTGTCAAAATCATTGCAAGGAGCAAGCCAGTGCAAAGGTTTTGTTTGCACTCCTTGTTGAAAGCGCCGCCGGAAAAGACAGGCAGCATGAACCGTTTGACCAGCCATGGCCATGCCAGCTGAATGATGGAAGGCCCGGGCAAGAGAGTCCATTCATCAAAGGATTACTGTGCAGAGTCTCTGTGCGAAGGAGCTGTTTGCAATCGCTGTCTAGAATCAGATGTGAGGCATTAGTGTGCTTGGCGAATGGCATTCTACGACAAAGTGCATGCATTCCAGAAGAAGAAGTGCAAATTCGAATGAATGAGCCCAAACTGTTGGGCGACCCCAGCCTGCTGTAGCAACTGACTGGCAGCTGCATCAGGCGTCTTGAGAGCGTTGAAAAGACCTGTCAATTCTGCTTCGCGTCAGGGCTTGCAAAAGCTTTCCAGTTGCAGTCAGACATTTTGTTGGCCTTCCGTATGTTTGGCTCGCAGGGTACATAGTATCCATTTTGTTCCGTCCTTTCCATACAGTGTCGACTTACTTCAAAGCAGGCCAACATGTCCGCGACACGGTGGGGCAGGAAGTGGGCAGATTTTGACGATGAGGACGAGACGACAGCGCAAGAGGCCCAGGGACGATTCGAAACTCAGGCTGACAAGGATGGAATCAAGAGCGTCGTCGAGTATGTCGAGAAGAACGGCGCCACGTACAAAATCACAAAGAAGGTCAAAGAGCTGGTTACCACCAAATGGACCAACGAATCCATCATGGCTCGCAAGTCCTTGGAAAAGTTTGGCAAAGCTCTCACCAATTCTGAGGCAGACGAGAAGACTCTGTGCATGAAGAGCGTGGAAGAAATTCCGGTGGAGTCAGCCAAGAAGATCCATGTGGATCTGTCACAGAAGGATGATGCAGAAGAGAAGTTCTTCGAAGAGAGCTTGACCATCACCGAAAGCCTGCTGAAGGAGAAGAAGGTGTGGACAGACCTGAACAAAGAGATGAAGGATCAGGTAGGTGTCGGGGAGGAGGACAAAAAGGACACTACCGAAACAGCAGCAACCCTTCCGTCTGGAGCACCTGGAAAGTATGTGCCACCCAGCCTCCGAGGAGCGCAGGGTGATGGTGCCAAAGGCAAAGGCAAGGGCAAGGGAGGAGACTATTCGGGACAACAGGATGCCACACTGCGGGTCTTCAACCTGTCTGATGATGTCAAGGAGGGAGACTTGCAAGATCTCTTTGGAGGCTGCGGCCGGCTCCAGAGGGTGTTCTTGGCCAAGGACATGACAACCTTCCAGTCGAAGGGCTTTGCATTCATCACCTACTACAACCGAGAAGATGCACAGAGAGCCATTGATCGTTTGAACGGCCATGGCTATGACAACTTGATCATGAAGGTGGAGTGGGCTAAGCCACGAGCCTGAGAGTCGTCATCTGAGGGAGGGGTGTGCAGAATGCCTATAAGACGAGCCTGCATTCATGAACTACCGTGAACTATAGGTCAAGACAGAGTAGCCGAAAACCGATTTCGACCACTGTAGTCTTTTTGGCTACAACTTAAGTATCAGGCTCGCACCCTGTCAGTGACACAGAGTAGACGTCGTACAGAAGTGCCTGGCAGCGACAAGTGCCCTGTCCCTCGCAAAACGTGCAGCATGAGACCAAGGTTCAGTGAGCTGGCATGTTCTATTGCTTTGTGCAGATGTTGACATGTGTGAAGCCTTGCTTGTGAAGTTGCTAAACAGATTTGCGGCCACACTCTCAGCATTCTGCGCTTTTCGCTTTGGCCCTAGCAAGCCTGTTACACATGGGGACGTTTGATGTAAGGTAGTGCCGGAGCCTCTACTTGGGCTTGTTAGCTGCTCACTAGCTGACAGCACTTTTCAAGTCTTACACAGCAGAAGATTTTTAGTTTTTAGCATGGTTCATCAGTAGGCTAAGCCGCTTTTCTATGCTGCAATGCCCGCTCCAGGCAAAGGAGAGAAGGGCAAGGACAAACACGGCAGGCCAGCAAAGTCCAAGGGGAAGGGCTTCAAAGATGGAAGCACCGCCGCAAATGCATCTTATGGCGGCCCGCCCCAAATCCCAACTGACGCTGCCTGCAAGTTCTTTGGAAGTGTCAAGGGATGTCAAAAAGATGTGTGCCCGTTCTCGCACAGCAGCCCGAACAGCGTGCCGCTGTGCACATTCCTGCAGCGCGGGCAGTGTGACAAGGGGGCAGCCTGCACTTTTAGGCATCAGCAGTGGTCCAGCCCGGATGAGGCCATATCATTCTACGATGGTCGTGACCGCAACTTGGTGGAGCAGAGCGCCGAGAGGTACAAACAGATACGGCGAGGAGCGAGCAGCAAGGACAAATCAGCCGGAGAACGGCTGTGTACTGAGCATGTAGAGCTGGAAGGGGAGATCGAAAAAGACTTCCAAGAAGAGACCTACGGGTCGAATGCGATGCGTATGATGGAGAAGATGGGTTACAAGGCGGGCAGTGGCCTTGGCAAGGAAAACCAGGGTCGCACATCATTGCTTGGATCGTGTGTTGCTTTGGAACATTCATCTGGAACCTCTGCCTTGGGATTTTCACACTACGCTGGTGCCATTCGCGTGACAGCAGCCGAGCGCGCAGCTCGATTGGCCGATGCCCGTGCAAAGAAGTGCCAGAAGCTTGACAACACATCCTTTGTGCATCATAACCTCCTGAGCAGCGACGAAAGTAGTGAGGACGATCCACTCGTGAAGTCTCGTGACGTCAAGCTGCGATAGAAAAGTTCATACTGCCAGCGTGCTGTTACATGTAAGTGGCACTGGAGCTGTTGAAGACATGCAGGCCCTTTGTCAGCGCAAACGGCTCGGACAACCGCAGGTTTCGGTCAGTGTAGCTGTCAGTGTTACTTCAATGTACGAAAGCCTCTTGGCATTCTATACTAGCACCAAGCAGGACCTAGCAGGCATTTCAGAAATACGAGCTGTTCTCGCAGGGCCTCGCGTACACTTGTGCAAGGATCCGCAGCCCTTTCTGATAATTTCTAGCATGGGCTCGGTGCTCAGACCGTAGTGGAGCAAGCGCCAAGTCGTTCTTGGGGGATGCATGTCTCTTGTCAAAGGTCTAGCATGCGGCACCTCGAACCTTCCGCAACCCGTGGAGACAAAGGTTGCGAGTAAGGATTTGGAAGGCAAGAAGCATATGTGCACGGTCAGAGCAGTTTCTTGAAAAGATTGCATTGAGCAGGCGATGACAATTGGAAAGCTTTGCTCACAGCAACGGAGAGAAGGGCCCCAGAGCCGGGAGTCCCAGTAGCGGTGAGTCCCATGGCCAAGACACAGCCAGGGGTTGAACCCTTGGAAGCCCTGCAAGCTTCACCCTCGCAAGAGACCGAAGCATATGGCCTTTTGGATGAGTATGTGGATGATTTGCTTGGAATTCCGCAGAAAGATCGCCCAGTGTCGTGGAGCCGCCCTTCTTGGCAAGAAACAGCAGCATCGATGCCGAAAATGGTGCTGGAGGACGGTTCCCGAGGCCCAGCACTGGGGTCTCTTCCGCCAAAACAGAGGTTGCAGGACCCAGATCTGGCGTCAAGCTCGAGGGAACCTTTGCAGCCTGCCACGTGCCTCAGCTTGAAGAAGCCTGTGTTTTTCATTGCCTCAATTTCAGGCATGTAGCGAGCGCACTTGAGGCCATACTTGGCTGGAGTATTGAATGGTTGGGCCGTGATTGACCGGAGCACGGTCGACACAAGATCTGCCAGGGATACTGGCCCTGCACCCAAGCGGCGTGTTGACAAAACGTCGAGCCTCAAGCCTGATGAACGAAGGGAAGCGCAGAGATGCTAGGTCCTTCTCAACGGGCTGCCGGGATTGCCAAGCAATCTACGGCTGCAGGCAGACCAAGAGTGTAGACCGCAAGGGACGCGGTGCCTTGGTAGAAAAGCTTGCTTGCTTGCTTGCGTTACCTGCCTTACCCAGCTGCACTATACTGCACCTCTGTGCGCCCAAGCCCAGCATTGCAATCTTGGCTTTGGCTCCAGCATATGGGACTGTGCTCGAAGACGAATACAGCTGGATCACGCGCTGGCTGTGAAAATTTGTAGGGTCTATGTGTCTATGGGCCATGCAATAACATGCAATAGAAGCGCCCAAACTTATGGCATTGACGCTTTATGCGGGATGTTGACTTGGTTTCTATAACGATCGGTGCAAGAGACCTGCTTCTGACCGAGAATGCAACACACATGGCTTCTGAAGACAGGCATGTCGTAGCGCAGACGCCGCGTGCTTGTTTCTAATCTTCTGCAAGGCCGCGTGAAATATCTTGCCCTCACCTAGGCACGCTGAAAAGAAAGAGCAACCAGATCTGGCCTGAGATCTCGAGGCGCCTCAGCAAGAGTGTTTGTGCATCTAATCCTGAGGTAGTTTCCATTTTACGCTCGCCTGACGACCCTTATCATGTGGCATCTTTGTCGAGGAGGTATCCAAGCTGCGACTTGCCAGGAGATGTGGAATGCTGCACGCGGGATGCAAGCGCATGCTGCCAACAAGGTTGCACGATCAACGCCCCAGAAGACAGGGCAATCATGTTCCAGCAATTGTTGGAGGTTCTGTGCCATGGCCAGCAGCCCACAGTATGCTCAGATATGCTGCTGGTAGCAAATTTGGCTTTATAGGTGTCGAGGTGTTTTTGTTGTGATGCTGAAGGAGCTATGCTCTGGCAGAATGTCATGCTTGGCAAGACTTGTCTACCTCCGAGCTTCACCCACTGACGCGTCACGGACTTGATCACTACGATGTCGTCAACTGGGTGATCAAACCCCTTGATGGGGCAAACAAATGCTCATTTGTGGAGATGGTGGCTGACGGCATTCAGGAGCCAGAATATTACCTTAGCCACTACTTCGGCCAGCCGGTCCAAGATATTTTGGACTGCCATGGCCTCATCCCTTTTAGGTTTTCCTTTGCTGTGGCCGAACTGTACCGTACACACGCTGAGGTGTGCGACACCACATTCGCACAAGACAGCTTGCTGATGACACCCCATACTGGGCATGGGCCTACGCTCATCGATATGGCTTGGATGAAGTACTGCCGGATCATTTGCGTAATTCCTCAACCTGGCGAGCTCCTGCCCCAGTTCAGCAATTCAGCTTCAACGGCGTGAAAGCCAGTTGCTGCTTGCAGGCGATGAGCAAATCGACTGGCATTCTTCTGGCTCTGGGCACAACGTCAGTCCCTCTCAGCCGAACCTGGCACCTCTGCGGTGTTTGCAGAGTCTCTGGCTGTTTTTGTTCCATAGCTAATAGACTGTGCTGCAAACTGCCTCAAACCGTGCGATGATGTCAAGGAGTGCGCCACGTCAGGTCCTAATAGCTGGAGCAGTTCGACACCACACAGTGAAGTTGACACATCCTTCTTGTGGCAAGATCTTGTCTATCCAGTCAATACGCTTTGAGTGCATGCACATGCGTAAACCGTCCATTGATGTCACAACTGTATCCAGCGTATGATGGCCCAGAATTCCCTGCGCATGCTTTCGCGATGTTAGTTTCTCACACGTCTGTTTACAAGATGGTAGCTGCTCACGCTAATGAAATGTTTGGATGCCTGGCCTGAGGTGCTTGATGGAGATTGCGTTAGCCGTGCTGGACCAACGCAAACCCCTGGACATTGCATCCTGGTGCAAATGGAAGTGCGGACTTTGCGTGAAACTCATACTTCCTGCCAACGAATAGTTCGTCTGGTTTGGGCTGGTTCATCCGCGCCTGCTTTGGTTTGTGAGGACCTACCTGAGCAATTGTGAGGCATCGCGCATGTTGGCATGCACCAGGGTCACTTGCGTAGCTTGCCCTTTCGCGAAGGCAGCCTGTGCCGTGGAAGGCGTCAAAATTTTGACAGAGCATCTGACAGAGCCCGAACGCAGAACAGAACACAAGACTGCTGGGGGCGGATTGCGGCAAAAGAGCCATCGAGAGCAGACGTTTCCGGCAGCACCGTGGCATCAAGTAAGTGCGTTTGCGCTCATCAAAGCGTAGCTGGCTATTGCCGCTGAATCTCAACATTGCCGTACCTGTTCAAAGGAGATGCTTCTGGCAGCCCCGGATATTGGCCTCGAAAGGTCCGATGCCTCAAGCAAGCTGGACCGCAACCGCATCCTCTACAAGTTTCTCGAAGAGAGAGGGGTGGAGATCGGATCTGTACCCTTGCACCGCCTTCTGGAGCCTCGACATGCATCTTACATTTGCATTGGTGGGAACGTATCTTGCTGACCAGCATGTCATGATGCCGTATCTCTCTTTGCCTGTTCAGGAGAAGGTGAACATCAAGCTGCGTGCGTTGTTTGCTCGCATGATGTGGCTGCCAATGCTCGATACAGAGAGTGGAAAGCTCCCACGAACGCGACATGCTTTAGCTGACTGCATTCGGGCAGATGCAGCCAAAGACCGTCTAGAGATGAACTTCTCTGCGTCACGACTGGATGACCCCAGCCTGGCCGCCATAGCAAAAGCCATGCACAGGAACCTGGCTCACGTCAACCTTGACTTTGGCATGTGTACTCAGATCACGGTGAAAGGAGTTGCAGAACTAGCCAAATTCTTGCCTGCCAAGCTGCGGACCATAAGGTTGAATTTCAAGCTCCTCAGCTGTGTCGGGATTGATTCTAACAGGCATCATCTGGGGCTTGAGGTAAGTGGCTGTCTGAGGAGCCCCTAGGACCTCAGGATATTTTCACAACCGATGTTGGTCTGGAGTCCATCGCCCTTGCCACGGCGACTTCATTTTGCTGGGCTCCGCATGTGGCAGCAAGAACTTGCATGCAGGCTCAGGTAACATTGCACAAACTTGCAGCAGTCAGTAGGGCCCCCATCAGAAATTGAAGATTGCCGAATGGGGCCAGCAAACAGTGCTTTCCATTTTCCTGGACACGGAACAGCAGCACACTCACACTCCGATTCCAGGATGCTCTGATCTCAAGATTTGTCCTGGGCATGAAAGATAGACTGGACCTGCCTCATAGGGCACACAGATATGTGTTCATGCCGCAGGTCTTCTGGCAGCTGCGTGCACCTGATTTGGCACACCCTCAGTGAGACCTATATATGGTTGTGCGCTGTGCGTTCTGAGCCCCCCCCCCCCATGGTATGGTTCCTTCCCAGCTCAGACCTCCTAAACGTGTGAACAGTCACAGGGATGGTGGGTGTCCAGTTTACGATCCTCGTAACTGTCATCGTTTTTGACGTCAAAGATCTCAAAAATGCTAACAGTCACAGGGCTGGTGGGTGTCAAGCTCGCGATCCTCGGAAAAGTCCTCGCTCTTGCCTTGGAGGCGCCATTCTCGTAACTGTCATCAAATGCGTACAGTCACAAGGAAGGAGGGCAGACGCGGTCAAGTAACCTAAAACCAGAAGTTCACTGAGACCAAACCATGACCCCCAAACACCACAGGCGCCAGCACCCCCACAGGACCACGGGGGGGGGGGTGTGGAAAACAGTTTCTCCGTATACCATGTGCACAGTGGGAGGGGTGGACCTGGGTTCAGAAGATTGAGACCAAACCAACACCCCCAGGCTCCAGCACCCCCACAGGACCACATGGGGGAGGGGGGGAACACTTCCTCCCTATATCATGTGCGGGGTGGAAGGAGTGGACCTAATACCACAAGTTGATTGAGACCAAACCAACACCCCCAAGCAAGCACCACAGGCGCCACAGGACCACGGGGGGGTGGAGGGGAATTTCTCCCTTCTCTGTATCATTATCACGTGGGATGGGGGATACCATGGGGGGGAGGGGGGGGCGGCCGGGGCGCAACCATATATGGCATGGGGCAGTCTGCACAAACGCAGAACCATGCCGCCGGCGCGCACACATCCAGGCTCACAATCCTGCCAAGAAGCGCGAGCGTTCCCTACAGCATGGCTTCTAACAGTTATAGTCTATAGTCGTAATCGCTAGCGGCTAGAGGGTATCGATATTGGCTGCTGGGGCTTTGCTGAGTGGTGAACGGTGTGAACGGTACAAAGGCTAGCCTCGGCACGTGTGTAGAAAGATAGGGCAGGCAGGAGAGATTAAATGACAGATGGAGCAGTTGCTGGGGTGAGGAGGGGGCAAAGGCCCGAATTTAGCGTTGAAATTGCATGCTGAGACTGTAGAGAGCTGGCGAGGTTATGCTCTGGCGTCGGCCAAGGAGGTGTTGACGCCTTGTCAAATGCGCTTCCTGCTGGCCTGACTTCTTTGCACCTGAACCTGGCTTGCAACTCCGAGATCCGAAGCTTGGCAAGCCTTTGTCGAGGCATTCGCAGTGTGCACTCATTGAAGCTACTTGGTACTCCTTTGATGCTGTTTCAGTAGCTTCATTTGACCTTTTTGCTTCTGGGAACTGTCCCCATGCCTCGGCAAGGTTTCTGGACCTGGACCTTTCTATCGTGGAGTACTTAAGCGACAAGAGCTTGCTCGCATTAGCAGAGATGCTGAATGATTTGGTGAGCTTGAAGAATCTTCTCTTATCTTTCAGGGGCTGCAAATCTATCACTGATTCGGGCGTGGTTGCTGTTGTGGAGGGTCTGCCGCCTGTCACGCTTCTCAAGCTTGACTTTGCTTTCCTTCAAATCTCGAATGAGACCGTCGATGCGCTGGCACACCGTATGCAAGTAATGTCGGAGCTGGGCGTCATGCACATCAACTTGCAGGGCTGCCAGGATATTTCTGAAGCATCAGTCGGGCACCTGGTGCAGATGCTGCCGTCTTCATTGAAGGGTGCCAAGCTGAATCTATGTGACACGCCTCTGCCTATGAACATTCAGAAGCTCTGCAGGCGCCTGACGACCATGCGAAAATGGCCGCTGAAGCCGAGCCCAGCTTTCGCGAAGGAGTCCCGAGCTGCCCCGGTGGTTCAAGAGAGCGCAGACGTGGGCACAGAGAAGCCTGGTCTTGCTTTGCGCAGCTTGGACCTTTTCGTGCGCCGCGGCTGCGTGGATCCACGGCCGCCGGCTCGACCTGAAGCCAGAACCAGTCAGGGAAGACGGGATGGCTGGCAGGAGAAGGTTATGTCAATGATGTCGATGCCATATTCCGATGAGGAGCAGCGCCGGCTACGCCGCACTTTCAGCGAGCCGTACCAGCGACAGTTCCGTGCGCTCTTGCCCAAAGTTGCGCATCAGGCGAAGGGCTCCAGCATCGCCGCAATGGCCAATCCGGAATGCATGTTCTCAAGGCCGCGCACGACCCACAGCGGCTTTTCAGAGCCAGTTTGGTATCCGTGACGCACGACTTCACCATGTTCCTCTTTCATTGGCGCGAGGCAGGCTGCCCACGAAGTGGAGCTTTTGCCTTTGGCGCTCTGGGCATGGCACGGGAATGGATTCCGTAGGTTTCCAGTCTCCTGTGGTGGAGTGTTGTTGTCCTTCACGCGCGGAGCACGCGAAAACCGCCCTGCTACAAGCAGCTGTCATCATATCATCATGATGCAATTACGCTTGAACAGTGAACTTGACACCTTTGATGAAGCTGTCTTTTCACAGCTGTCCAAAATGGAGAATGAATGAGAATGATGCAAATGACACATTGTCCGGAAGAAAGCCTACCACTATTGATGGAGGAAGTCTTGCACCATATAGTGTGCCTAAACCATTGCAATAACCATGATTTGCAGGAGGTAAAGTGATGCAGTGCTTCTTACCGCAACCGTATTCCTTGCTCATTCAGCACATTGTAATTAGTGGCATGAGAGTGCAAGCACGGGCTAGTAGGATTGATCATGCCAATCGTGCCATGGCTGACTACGATGCTTTTTTGACGCTACCACCTGGGTCCTGCAAAGAGCTCGTCAGCCAGGAGCAATGCCTCATCGATGATAGGAATCACAATTATGCAGAGGAGTTGGATGAGCGATGGACATGAGAGCCTTTAGATCCCATGACTCCAGATGACATAAAGCTATCAGCGGACAATTGCATCGGTCACTTGGAGCAGCATGGCTGTGGCTTGGTGCGGGATGTGCTAAGTCCTGATCTTTGCAAGCGATTGCAAGCACTTGTGGACGACCATCTCGAAGCAGCACAGAGTGCCATTTCTGCAGAAAGTGACGCAGACCGTCGTCAGAACTTGCTGCAGCAGCATTTCGGTACCGTGCGTGACCGTCAGCACCGGTGGGACTTGAAGCTACCATTGAGTGAGACTGTTGAGGAAGCGGTGCGTCAAGCAGTGCAGGCCTTGCGCTGCCTGCTCTACGGGACAGTTCAGGCCGATGGTGTGCTGGTTGAACTCTCGTGTTTGATAACTGATCCCGGAGCACCCAGACAAAATGTACATGTGGACACTGGTGGCTGGAAGACGGCCTGTGCTCCGTTGCTGACTGTCTTTATAGCATTGCAAGATATTTCCCCTGAGATGGGGCCTACGATACTTTTTCCTGGCACGCATGATGACCCGTATCTTCAGCAGTGGCTCTCCATAATGCCTGGGGCTGAGAGGTCTCCGGAACAGTTTGGAGGTGGCCAACATGCTACTTGCCAACAAGGTTCGGCCGTTTTGATGAATTCCCGACTGCTCCACTGTGGCGGCTCAAATCTGCCAGCAGAGTCTGGGGGTTCTAGAAGACGTTTGTTCTACATGACCTGGCAGAAGCCGGGAAACACCAACCATGGGTCCACCTACACGATCCGGGATGACCTCGTGGGCAAGTTCCGTGCTCTGGATTTCCTATCTCATCCTCTCAGATGTTCTTTGACGGCAAAGGAAGATCGCATCGGTCTGGAAGTATTGGCAAAACGGAAGGATGACATTCAGGCAATGCTGGAGTTTGCCATCTGCTTACGGAGGGAGGAGGATCCTGGTGCTGTGGAGTGGCTTCGGGCGACGGGTCGCAAGGGCCACCCTCTCGCTTGCATGCACTTGGCTGAGATGTACTGTTTGGGTGAACTGGGATTGGAAACAAACTACGATGCTGCAGATGTTGCTTGGCTTTGTCATGTTTTGGAAGCATTGGAGTCTCAAGTGCTGCACTTGTATGTATCAACCATCCCACTGAGGAGCTGCGGAAGTTTGCGCTGGGAATTTTCGACCACCTAGCTGACAGGTCTGATTCGAAGCCCTCGTTCCAGGAGTTTCTTGATAAACATGCAGGGGTCTTTCGTCAAGACTTGCTGTTTTGACCAGAGAAGCCGCCGCCGAGCTTTGGTAGCGTTTGTGCTGCCCGTTTCGTACCTTTCAAAGGTGGCAGGTCCTCGCTGGGGATCCCAAAGCAGCATAGCATATGCATCTTGCCAAAGGGCACGCCGTGATTAGCACTGTCCAGTTGCCACAGTCAGAGAAAAGGAGTATTTGCGCTGCCAATGACAACCGCCTGTGATCTTGTTGGTTAGGCTACTATGCAAATCAATGTTCAAACGGTGTGAAGCCTGAGCAACGCTCTTCCTGCCCATGCTCGTTGGCATCAATTGGCCCGTGTGGCTGCTGCAGTCAGGGGGTTTGGCATCTAGTCTATGTGTAGAGCTTAGCCGCTTGTTGCAGCAGCTTGTGCTTTCAAATCCAGTTTTCTGATGTGCAAGGGGGTGCTCTGCGCACGAAAAAGATCTCCAGGCAAAGGATTGGTGATCTGCAATCCTTCTGACTTTGCAGTCCGTTCCCTGCCACGCTCCCGTGCTGTGTTTGTTTGATGCCCTTGTGTCCTGTCGCTGTCCTGATCTCCTCTTCTTTGTCACTGTGCATAATGCCACTGCTCTTGGCTCAAGGGAGGGTACGCTGCGCATACGCGCATACTGCTACGTTGTTGTAAATCAATCAAGTTTTACAGTCCACTGGACTTTTCCCCACCGTGCTCCCCACAGCAATGATGAAGGGAACCGAGACACAAAGCCTGATGTCAGCTGCTGACCCAGGGCGTGTGCAGCCAGCGGACTTCCTGAAAGACTTGGACTGGGCCAAGTTTGAAGCAGCTGCTGTGCCATTGGCAAGGAAGTACAACCCACCGCAGCTGATCACCAGCTGCACGGGCTTTGGCGCTCGTGTCTCCATGTGCTGGAACTCCTTGTTTACCCATCGCGCACCTATCTGTGCTCAGCCTGTGATTCCATGCTGTTGTGCAAAGTTTATGCAGAACAGCGTCTCAGAGCTGGCACAGGTGAAGCTTTCCGAACCAGACGACTGGTTTAAGAAGATGCTCAGCGTTGAGCACCCGAATACCCCAGAAATCCTGAAAGGACTCTTTTGGATGGAGGACAACTATGCCCCGGAAGTGTTGTTGACATTTCAGGATATGGACTGGGTAACGGGAGAGCAAGGATATTTTCAGCCTAAATACAGTTGGACGAACGATCCAAGCTGCATTGGAACAGTTTGCTTGTGCAGTAATTACCAAAGCACGTGGAGGTCTGCTTGGCCATTCAAGTTCTCACCAAACGGCAAGTGGATCAACATCAATCCGCAATGGATCTACATACCCGACGAGGGCGAGAAGATCACGCGGCCAGATGGCTCTGTTGTCGAGATGGCGCAAGGGGACATGATTCGGGTGAGCTTTGTCGTGGCCAATGATCCAACATCAGGAATGAACTATCAGTACATCATACGCCGCGTGGCTTACATGAAGGATGGGAAGCTCATCAAGACAAAGGCCTATGATGAACTGCGTCGGAGGGCAACAATGGAACCTACAATTGGTGGCTGTTGCGGCTACTACAATTGTTCGGCTGTGGGGGCAAACTACATTTTCGACGCCTACGAACCATTGTCAGATGATCAGGTGCTCCTGTTCCCTCCGCCGCTGGAAGTCATGTGGCCGGGATCTGTGATCCCCGATACCAAAACCAGCTGAGGGGGACGAGGGCCGTGTTGGCATCCCTCCGTAGCATTTGGCCTAAGTAGCTTGGAAACGATGGGGGAGCAGATGCGAGTAGCACAGGCCTCCTTGTGTTCAATGCCCCCCTCGCATCATAAGGAACCCTGAATGCATACATTCCCATTTTGCCTTACAGGAATTCACCCTAAGATCCTCAATTAGCCAACCTCCGCATGCTTGGCTGCGGCTTCTTAAAGTTGCCCTGCCTTGCAACGTATATTGTGCCTTTCAAGATGAAGCATTGAGCACTGAAGCACTGAGGCTAGCCTTTGTAGGACCCTGTTTGAATTTTGAGTCGAGTTGTGAAACACCTTGACATCCCGCGTCTGAGAGGTAGGACCGTGCTGAGCTAAGTATTTGAGTCTGCAGTGGCGTGGGTAGGACGCATGGTACTTCTCTCAGACCTGCTGTTGCGGCCGGAAAGGCTCGAGCACCGACGTGGGGTTGTGGTTTGATCTGGGCATCTGCTGGCAGGATATTGATTGTTTCATCCACTTATCTCAAACCACTTCCTGAAGAACTCATATTTGGAAGACGCAGATGCTCTCATCTCCCCCTCGAGATATGATCTGAACCTTGCATGAGGCATTGCCAACAACAAGCCATACGATCATGAATATCATGCGAACAGAAATAAATACCTTAATATTACGGCGCGGCCACTTGCGGTCATTTAGCTCGCACGCGGCCTAAGTTTTCCGGCTTACCTTTAAAAGGCCTCCTGCGGGCTCCCTAGGGGCCCGAAAATGTCGGAGATTTTAGAGCCCTTCGGAAAAGCTAGAGGCTCTAAAATTTCCGAGATTTTTGGTGCGGGCGGCGCGATCAAAAATCTCGGAGATTTGTGGTTGCGCGGCCCTTGCTTCCGGAGCGGTTTTGCGCGTGATTTATCTCTCTTTGGCTGTCTGTGCAGCTGCTCGGTGGAGCGCATAGACCCGGGACGGAGAACCAAAATCTTTCAGAATTTATAGCTTGGCCATGTCTGTTCACGGAGATTTATGCGCTCCCTCGAGCCGCCGCGCAGATAGCCCAAGAGAGATAAATGAGGCGGAAAGACCGGGCTGGATGCGGGGGCCGCGCGATCAAAGGGCCGCGTGACCAAACATCTCCCAAGATTTCCAGCTATTTCTTTCTCTTTGGCTGTCTGCGCGGCGGATCGGTGGAATTTGAAGACCCGGGGCGGAGATAAATCTTTCAGAATCTATGTGTCACGTGCGGTTTAAAATATTGATAATTCATCGGACTTCACGTGCGATCTTATATATTATTTGATCATCGGAATTCTCCTAATAGATTTTCTCAAATAAGGTTTTTCTATTATTTTTATTCGCAGGCGAATTCTATTTTCAGATAAAGAGGATCAATTAAATATGATGAAAGATAGATAAAAGATCTCATTGAACATTCGCGATTATTTATGAACATTTTATTCGTGCGATATATTTTTTTTAGAATTAAATCTTTGATTTTCTATAATTTGATATATTCTGAGAAATTCGCGACCATATAGACGAATTAGAAATTTCAAATTCGAAGATATGATTTAAATGAATTTGAATATTTGATATGATATAATCGATTATATTATATCTATGAATTTTTCATATATTTCGAATATATACTTTCTTATAGATATTTTAGAGATTCGATATTCTAAAATTGATATTCATGAAGGAATCGAATAGATTAATCTCATACGATGAATTTCAAAAGATATATAAATCAAGATTTCATATGATATGATTAATTTTTTTTAATATTATCTATAAATATTTCAATAATACGATATGATTATTTGCGCTCATTTCGTTCGCGCGCGGCTTAAATTTTCTGGCTCACCTTTAAAAGGCCTCCTGCGGGCTCCCTAGGGGTCCAAAAATATTGGAGATTTTAGAGCCCTTCGGAAAAGCTAGAGGCTCTAAAATTTCCGAGATTTTTGGTGCGGGCGGCGCGATCAAAAATCTCGGAGATTTGTGGTTGCGCGGCCCTTGCTTCCGGAGCGAATTTGCGAGTGATTTATCTCTCTTTGGCTATCTTGTAGCTGCTCTGCGGAGCGCATAGACCCGGGACGGAGAACCAAAATCTTTCAGAATTTATAGTTTGGCCATATCTATTCACGGAGATTTATGCGCTCCCTCGAGCCGCTGCGCAGATAGCTCAAGAGAGATAAATCAAGCGGAAAGACTGGTCTGGATAAAGGGATCGCGCGACCCGAAATCTTTCGAGATTTCGATCAATTTCTCTCTCTTTGGCTATCTGCGCGGCGGCTCGGCGGAACGTGAAGATCCGAAGCGGAGATAAATCTTTCAGAATCTATTTATCTCATATGATTTTAAAATCTTGATAAATTATCGATTTTCATATATGAAAATATGCATTATTTGATTATCTGATTTATAGCTATAGATTTTCTCAAATAATTATTGCCTGCTGCTAGCGATAACGAGCTAATTCTGATATCTTTAAATAGCTCAATATCATGAATAATTCGGAGATTTTTCGATAAGAAATCTCCCAAGATTTCGAATTATTTCCCTTTCTTCGACTATCTACGCGCCGGATCGGTCTAGACCCGGGGCAGAGATCTAAAATCTTTCAGAATCTATTAGATTGGTCATTTTTGATCACGTGCGGTCTTATATATTGATTGCTCGTCGGGATTCATATGCGATCTTAAAGATTCCGCGTGATTTATCTAGCTTTGATTATCTATCCAAATAATCGGAGGCACGCATAGATCCGAGATAGAGAGATGAACTCTTTTTTTTCAGAATTTATGATTTATTTGAATATATTCGAATTACGTAGATAATCCAAGAGAGAAAAATGAGGCGGAAAGACCGCCCTGGATTCGGGGACCGCGCGATCGAAAGACCGCATAATCAAAAATATCTTGAAATTTCGAATTCTTTCTCTCTCTTTAGCTGTCTGCGCGCGAGACTCGGCGGAATATGAAATTCCGAGATAGGCATCTAATATCTTTCAGAATCTAGAAATCATATACGATTTTTAGATATTGAAAATTCATCGGACTTCTCAATTAGATTTAATTTTTTATATTTCAATAATATTCTCCATCATATTTTGGGATTTCTTCTTTAATCTAAATATCTGATCTTTTACGATATATTAGAGGATTCTTTATTATCTTCAAACGACTTCTTGATTATATAAAAAATCATTGATTATATCAAAAAAGGGTCTTGATTCTCTAGAAATCAATCTCTGAAATAGATCATATTTATATCCTGATTACGTAGGATAGATGCAATTCTGGCAATTAAAATTTATAAATGATATAGAAATATATTTGTTGTATTTCCGGAATGATTTTTTTTGAAATATTGAATAGATTTATTCTATCTATAGATCAAAATTTCAAATTACGATTTCTTAAAATAGGATTTCTAATTTCCTATTCCAAATATCAGAAATAAAATTAATCAGCTGGATCCTATGCCTAATAAGAATTTCAATATCAATAGCAACGATTATAGGCGGGAAAATGGGGAGATTATTGATCATTATTTAAATTATTGGATTCTCTCATTATATCTTAATATATCATTATAGGATAGAAATAGATTGATCTAAGAGATTTATCGACTTATCGGATCCTTTGATTATATAATCATAGAGAAATGGGATTTATATAGAATCATGAATGTCGAGAATTATATATAATCATAATCTTCTCCTTATGACGTCTCTGATTATTTAGGTCTGATGGCTCTATTTTGGGAACGGGATTTTGGGATTCTATTTTGGGAATGGAATTTGGCGGAACGTATTTTTTGACTCTATTCAGAAAATGATATTTGGATTTCTATTTTGCGAGCGAGATTTGAGGACTCCATTTTGGGAGCGTAGATTGACGATTCCAATTTGAAAGCGGAGATTGGAAGCTCTATTTTGGGAGCGAGATTTTATGATTCCATTTTGAAAGCGATATGATCAATGAAAAAAATGGGGAATATGATTTATATCAGATTATAGTAATAATAATTTCAGGGAAATATTAGGAGCGTTCTTTTTTCTCCTATCAAGGAAGATATATAGCGTATTAATCAATGAGAAAATTTGAAGATAATCATTTTCAAATTTTGATATAATCATGCTCGTAATTTTAATATAAGAAAAAATATTATATATATTCATGATTCCGGATCCTTTCAAAAAAATATTAGAAGAGATTTCTAATATGGATTATTTGATCATCCGATTTCTCTTTATAGATTTTCTCAAATAAATATCTTCTATTGGAGATATCGGACCAATTCTAGATTGAATTATATTGAATATATTGATTTTCTCTTCATTCGTCATATTGAAATAATTCACGAAATATTGAAAGATTTCATTTTATCTTCAATTTAATTAGATGATTTCGATACGCACGTTCTGATATACGACCCACGCATTCTAAAAATTTACGTTCCCAATATCTACGTTCTGAAATATCATAATTTTTCAGATATTTTTATGGCAAAAATAATATCGAACAATCAAATTTGGAAGGAATATATCGTTCACGTGCCGATTCCATTTTCCCATTTTTTCAGATCTTCCAAGAACCAACCAATTTCAAGAGAATATAATATTATGTTTATGCATGAGGATTTTGCAATTAGAGGACTCCAAAAATAGTATTGAGGGATCCTAAGCCAATATGAGAAAAATTTTGGATCATCATTTTTGATATTATGAATCCAATAGATTCCAAAAAATTACGTTGAATGATATACGATCAGAAAATGAGATTTTAGATCTCATATATTTATAGGATTTCAAGAAATATATTGAGATATCTACGATCAAGATATAGAAACATTGGTCAAGAAATCAATTGAAAGATATGAGATCAATATATGAGATTTTAGATCATACATATTTAGAAATCTCCCTAATCGCCATGAGGGATCTAGGACGAATTTATGAAGATTTTGATCTTATCTATTAAGAAGATTCCAAGAAACGAA